CTTCAAACCAGAACTAACTGGGTTCGAAGCCCTGATTCTAAGGTGTACTTTGATTCTAAATCTTGTTGACTTTCAGCTTGGAAAACTTCCTGGGATCTCATTAGAACTCTGTTCTTTTGACCATTTGTATGTTTTGTATTTGATTGTAAACAATGTTCCCCTGTTTTTTCTTACCTGATACTGTCTACACTAAATCTTACAGAGTTTTCTCTATTTCCTTTGCCTACTGCTGTCATACCTCCATATATTCTTTTGTCATACATTTGTAGTGTTGTTATTGTTGTTAGTTGCCATCAAGTCAATTTTCTATACTTCATCCCCATTTCTTTTCCTGAGTATAGGTGATTATCTTTTAAATTGGCTTCTTCTGTTTTGTTACTACAGACGTTCTCCACTCTTAGAGCATTCCTTCTAAAATGTAAGTCTGGTCATGTATAATAAACCTGTGTGATGGGGTGAATATCTTAGGAAGTGCTCAGGACAAGCCAATTGAATACTGGAAAAGATTACAGGAAGCCTAGTTATCATTTTATCTTTAAAAAGTAAGTCACTAAGCTTTTTCAGTGTATTCATTTTCAATTGCTGCCATAATGAGCACAAGCTTAAAACAACACAAATTTATTATAGTACTGTCTGTCAGTTTGTCGTACTGTGGAGGCTTGTGTGTTGCTGTGATGCTGGCAACTATGTCACCAGTATTCAGATACCAGCAGGGTCACCCATGGTGGACAGGTTTCAGCTGCGCTTCCAGACTAAGACAGACTAGAAGGAAGGACCTGGCAGTCTACTTCTGAAAAGAATTAGCCAGTGAAAACCTTGTGGACAGCAGCAGAGTGTTGTCCGATATAGTGCCAGAAGTTGAGCCCCCCAGGTTGGAAGACACTCAAAAGACGACTGGGGAAGAGCTGCCTCCTCAAAGTAGAGTCGACCTTAATGACGTGGATGGAGTCAAGCTTTCGGGACCTTCATTTGCTGATGTGGCCAAACTCAAAATGAGAAGAAACAGCTGCAAGCATCCATTAATAATCGGAACGTGGAATGTATGAAGTATGAATCTAGGAAAGTTGGAAGTCGTCAAAAGTGAAATCGAAGGCATGAAGATCGATATCCTAGGCATTAGTGAGCTGAAATGGACTGGTATTGGCCATTTTGAATGAGACAATCATATGGTCTACTATGCCAGGAATGACAGCTTGAAGAGGATGGCATTGCATTCGTCATCAAAAAGAACCTTTCAAGATCTATCCTGAAGTACAATGCTGTCAGTGATAGGATAATATCCATACCCCTACAAGGAAGACCAGTTAGTACGACTATTATTCAAGTTTATGCACCAGCCACTAAGGCTAAAGAGGAAGAAATTGAAGATTTTTACCAGCTTCTTCAGTCTGAAATTGATCAAATATGCAATCAGGATGCGTTGATAAGTACTGGTGATTAGAGTACAAAAGTTAGAAACAAAGAAGAAGGATTGGTAGTTGGAAAATATGGCCTTGATGATAGAAATGATGCCGGAGATCACATGATAGAATTTTGCAAGACCAACAGCTTCTTCATTGCAAATACCTTTTTTCACCAACAGAAATGGCAGCTATACACTGGGACCTCACCAGATGGAATACACAGGAATCAAATCGACTACATCTGTGGAAAGAGACAATGGAAAAGCTCAGTATCATCAGTCAGAACAAGTCCAGGGGCTGACTGTGGAACAGACCATCAATTGCTCATATGCAAGTTCAAGTTGAAACTGAAGAAGATTAGAAGTCTGCCAGAGCCAAAGTACGACCTTGAGTATATCCCATCAGAATTTAGAGATCGTCTCAAGAATAGATTTGAGGCATTGAACACTAATGAATGAAGACCAGATGAGTTTTGGAATGATATCAAGGACATCATACATGAAGAAAGCAAGAGGTCATTAAAAAGACAGGAAAGAAAGTAAAGACCAAAATGGATGACAGAAGAGACTCTGAAACTTGCTCTTGAACTTTGAGTAGCTAAAGCAAAAGGAAGAAATGATGAAGTGAAAGAACTGAACAAAAGATTTCAAAGGGCAGCTCGAGAAGATAAAGTATTATAATGACATGTGCAAAGACCTGGAGATAGAAAACCAAAAGGGAAGAACACGCACAGCATTTCTAAAGCTGAAAGAACTGAAGAAAAAATACAAGCCTCGAGTTGCAATAGTGAAGGATTCTATGGGGGAAATATTAAAGGACGCAGGAGGCATCAAAAGAAGATGGAAGGAATACACAGAGTCACTATATCAAAAAGAATTGGTCGACATTCAGCCACTTCAAGAGGTAGCATATGATCAGGAACCGATGGTACTGAAGGAAGAAATCCAAGCTGCACTGAAGGCGTTGGCGAAAAACAAGGCTCCAGGAATTGACGGAATTTCTTTTTTTTTTTTTTCTTCTTTTATTTTTTATTTATTTATTTATTT